CCCCAAAACCCCAAAACCCCAAAACCCCAAAACCCCGGAGTAATATTATTTATTGACAGGTATAATAATTAGGTTAACAAATTCGATGATTAATAGTCTTAAAAGCCAAACCAGATTCGCTCACACTGGTGACGTTTGTTACTTCTTCACAAGAGAAACAGAAGCGTTGCTCCCAGGAAACGTCTTTGAAGGTGCAGCATCGAACTGTATCACACAGGTAAGCTAACATGCCATGCTTGAAACCTCTGGCACATATCTTAAGTCGCTAAGTACACCGTGGAGAATATTGACCTTTCTTGCTTTTAAGAATGTTCTAACCTTGTTGTAGGAAATGCTCGCTAAAGATTTCAGTCTATTTGATTCTGAAGAAGGGCAGGCTTGATTTCCTGATATAAAGGGACCAGAGCCACCCATTTCAACAAGAGCTTAGGTGGGTGGAGATGACCTCTATGATTATCAAGTTAGAAAGCTTGAAGGCGATTTCAACTTTTTGTGCATCTCTGAAGCTTCCAAGGATCCTCAGAGAAATGAATTTAAATCAGCCCAAAATTCTGAAGAGAATAAGGAGGACATAAGTTGCCATCAAGCCAATGCTCAGTCTGCCTCTGGTTCTAGTTGCTCTTCTCGTAGAAGAACTAAGGCATCCTCCTCAGGAAGAAGCGATGTTGAGTTCAAGGCAGCTCTGAGACTTATCAAAAGATTCTTTAAAAATGTCTTCAAGTCTAAGAATACCGAAATTATTAGAAGAAGGTATATTAACTGAGATATGCAAGAAGTCCAATCCCAGATGAAAATACTACTTTGTGAGTTCTTTCCTCAAGAAGAAATCACAGAAGAGCTTGTGGACTACACCATTGGTGTTGTTAATCCCAAGTGGGGATCAAGACTTGATTGAAGTAAAGAAACTCAAGAAGAAATTTCGAAGTTCCATACATGTTGTCAGACATTTTCAAAGAAGAAATTCAGTGCTCTCCTTGAATCTCAAAATTTCAGAGTTCTCTGTAGCTATCCGACCCAGAAATTGGATGATCCTCGTATTAGAATCATCAAGCAAGAGCTTGAGCAAAGTTCAACTTAATAGAGGCAGAACAGGAAGCATTCACTAATCTAATTTTAATAAAATTTACTCAAACAAAGTTCTTCGAGTTTTAATTTTTATGAGATTTCAGTGCATCTCTTTCAGTCTTTCTGAAAGTTCTCATAGTCTACATCAATCCTGTCAAATGCTTAAGGGTTCATTATATCAACGCCAGTCTGTTCAAGGTCTTCTTAAAAGAGTGGGAGTTAGCTGCATCATAAACCTACTTTATTGCTATCCAGTCATATTTGAATTAAAAACAGGAGATCTAGAATTAAACACTATTTTTAAGAGAAAGTGCCTGTTCCCTTAGCTTTGCAAAGAACTTTAGCTATTCCTAAGGGCCTACTTCTTTGAAAGAGTGTATCAGAGTTACTTCAAAATGTCTGAAGCTTTAAGATGATGGTATCAGAGAGGCATGCGAAGGTACTATAAAGTTCTATTTTACCATCAATATTTACTTCCATCTATCAGATGACGAAAATCCAAGTCTTAACTTGTCCTAACTAGGTTTATCAGCCCTCAGTTCCTTTATCAAAGTTTTCTCCATTCAGAAAATTCTTAAGAGAAAATATAAACCCAGTAACTTAATATTGACAGAATTTATGAAATAAGAGCGCGGTGGGAAACCAGTTGACACTCCAAAAAGATTTTGCCTAAAGCCTCTTATGCAGGTGAAAGCTATTGCTGTAGGCTCAGGCATCAGAGAAACTCTCTTTGGCACTATCTCCTAACTCTGAGGCTAACTTCTCACAGGATAACAGTGTACTTGTAGTTTGGTTTTCTGATGTTCGTTCTGAGGTTCTGATGTTCTACAAATTTATGTACTATGGGTAACCACCCACTCCATCCACGAAGACTCATATGTTATGAATATGCATCAAATCTAATAAAAGCTGACATATTCAGGCTTAGTGGCTCTATTTCTGTAGTTTGGCTGCAACTGATATGCTGAAATTCAGTCTGGGTAATCGATGAAATATGTGTTATGAAAACCCGATAAAAGCATACTAGTAATCTTCTGAGTCTTCATTGAATTTTTCTAATGGGCTGTAAATGAAGAGCACCGTATATGGATTTAGCCATCCTTAGCTCAGGTGTTAACAATTTCTAAGAAGCCAGATATACCGAGGTTTAATCCTCATTTTGCTTATCACCCAAAAATTCAATAACTTGTGCATGAAAATTCTGAAACAACCAAAGCACTTTGAAAATGGAGGTACTTCAGCAGCTGTGCACGAACTGAAATATCTGGCTAGGCTAACGCTATAAGCTTGTTTCAACATGCCTAGTCAGATTAGGGATGCGCAAGCTCCATCTACTCAGTTATGCTAGCTTTGTAGGATTAAATGAATTTGAAGAGTTTTTACAATAGTCCCAAATCCATAATCAATAGATTTTTCAAAAGTGTTCTCAGTCAGAATTGGCCTAGTAACAGGGTTTAGAGAACATCTAGTCGAATTCAATCAATTAGATGGCCAGAAATCTTCCAATTTAGCAAATCGGGCAACATTAGCAAGAGTTTATGGAAGCTGGAAATAATATTAATAGGATTTCGGTTCTAAAATCTTTTAGAGAAGCCTCTATTGCTCTTCAGCATCCAAGGTGTTGTTAGATTGCCTTAGTAACTTAAAATTTGAAGGGTTCAGATTACTAAGGCTAAGGGGTTAAGATATTTCTTAGTTTTTAGTATTCAAATGCTCCAAAATACTGACTCTGGAAGAATAAGTTAATCAAAGGAAGGCCTATCGCAAGCCTGGAGGCTCAGGAGTGGGCCAATGTATTTTTCATTTTCAGACGATTTTAGATTTGAGAGATAAGCCATGGTGTAAGTTGCTAAAAAGTATGATTTGTACGTAGTAATTTGGTTCAACCTCTCGTTCACCGCCCGGGGTTTTGGGGTTTTGGGGTTTTGGGG